AATATCCCTTAGCAGCTTTTGTGAGTTGATTCTTAAGTGAAAAACTTGTTTAAGGAAAATAGAATAGTTTTGAAAGATTTTTCTGGAGTTACATAATTGTACTGTTTTGCTGGGGTATTTCTAGTTTATTTTCTTGGGTTTGAATCTGCTGGTTGTCGTTGTCTTTTGCTATTGTTGCTGCCCGTTTAATTGTTTTTCTGTTGATTTTGGAAAGAGCTGACTCTCCTGTATTTGTTCTTCTTTCTGCTGGCCAGGTAATTTTCGGACCATGTAAACTCATAAAATCGAGTTGGAATGAAAGATAATGACGTTGGGAAATATTAGTAACTTCATCTTTCTATTGTAATTCATTTTTATATGCTCTTGAATGTTTGATAATGTTATAACGATATGTTAGTTAATTAAATTGTGTTAAGCATCTTTAATTATTTTTATTTTTGCAAAGCATTAGATATAATTCCAGTAGGCATTTGGTAGTCTGAAAAGAGCATATATATTAAAATTTGAACCCTTGTAGCTATGTTTGTCCCTTTGTTGTCACCAAGTTAAGTTTTTTTTTTTTTATTATTATTATTATTATTATTATTATTATTATTATTATTATTATTATTATTATTATATTTTAGAGTCCCAATAATCTTTTTTTTATCTCTTAAAAAATATTTATTATGTAAGGTAGTTAAGTTGTAGATTAGAAAGACAACCTGTAACCTTATTTTTGTAAATAGTTGGGTACGGATTGCAAATAGCAAGATATGGCCAAATCTGTAACATAGTTTTAAAAGGCCATATCTGCAGATTTAAAGTCCAAAAGCATATGAGCTTTTGGATTTTGTCTTGGACATGAGCCCATTTGACTCCATCAACCCAATAGTGGGTTGTCTCATTCAATGTCAAGACAAGCCCACATCTCACTAGTTTTAAGCAATGTCAATTAATAATTTTCTCTCATTAGTCTCATCTTTTAAATTAGCACTCATAACAATAATTTTCTCTCATTAGTTAAGTTGTAGATTATTATTCAAATCTTTTCTTTATTTTTTTT